GAGCGAAAGATCGAACTGATGGGTCATCCGCCGTACAGCCCTGATTTGGCACCCAATGACTTCTTCTTATTCCCACACATCAAAAATAAATTACGTGGACAACGATTTTCGACCCCCGAAGAAGCGGTTGATGCATTCAAAACGCATGTTTTGGAGTTACCTCAATCGGACTGGAAAAAGTGCTTTGAAAATAGGTTCAAAAGCATGCAAAAGTATATTGATCATCGTGGAGAATATTTTGAAAAACAATAAAACCTATTTCGATCCTACATATTTGTTTCTTCATTATTAGGCCAGAAATATAAATAGCAACCCTCGTATCAATCTTTTTTGTTGAAAATAATTAAATTTTGTCTCAAAATGTAATTTGAATTTAAGTTTTACATTCAGGTTTCGGTAGGTTGCTTTTTTTTCTCTCTTTTTTTTTGTTTGTTTGGAATAATTGGGGCTATTTAGAAACAAGACGGGAAGGTTTATTTCCTAGATTATAAGAAAAGATTAGATAATTGCCAAGATCTTAGTGAATTTTATCTTAACAACAAGAAATGTAAATTAATTTTCACTATATTTTGACATAGATTTATAATAATTATTAAAAGATTTTCTGAGAAGCTAAAGTAAGATGTCTCTTTCTCACAAATATTTGCCAAAAACCCCCTCGAACCATTAAGATTGAGTTATAGAACGCAAGATCCGATCATTAGATCAAAAGTTATTCGGGGTGGCCGTTTTTTTATTTATTTATTTATTTTTTACATTTTATTTTTTATGTGTATTATCAGCGGTATTCATAACTTTCGTTTTATCCATAATGTAATTACTTTGCTCAATAACCAGTCTGCTGTTTTAATATGATGTAGAGTGTAGTATTATTAAATACTCAGTTTGCAATGCAGGTCAAAATGTGTTTAATTTTTCTATATGAGTTGCATAGTGGGGCAAAAGGCATAAAAAATTTAGCTGTCAAAATAGTTTGTCTCTGGAGACTAAAAAACTCGTGTCAGGTTAATATCAAGAATTATATTTATTTGTATAGCTTGTTTTTAAATCAAAAAGTCCCGCAGTGGACTGATCGTTAAGACACGGTTCCCAGCAGATCACCGAAGTCAAGCATCACTGACTGCGGTCAGTGTGCGGGTGGGTGACCACTTGGATCAGTCTGCGTTGGGACGGAGGGTGTGCGGTATTGGTCCTCGTTTAACTGTTCTACCGTAAAGTGCTCGACTTCGCGTGCAGGTCGTCGGGCTACCGAAATAGGGGTGCCATCCCCTCTGCGGAGGATCAAAATTGTGATGGCATGTCTTCGGATCATCCTCAGGGATGTTTCCCAGACCGTCGCCAATAGCCCATTGTGCAGCTCTAGTGCGACGTAAATGAAGAAATCAAATCAAATTAAATCAATAAATTTACTTTACAAAAGATAAAAACAAGATTATTGTTAGGAGTTACATTTATTTGTGTAGCTTGTTTTTAAATTAATTAATTTACTTTATAAAAGTTAAAAACAAGTATTTTAAAATCTGAAAAAAATATTTTCCTCAATTTATAAGAAGTGCTCTTTTCGTTATTGTTTGCTTCAAACTATTTTAATTAGTGCTTTTTTTTCTTCAAATGTATGTATGCTAATTGAACTTTTTTATTAAGTGAATGACGTTTTCTATTTATTTAGGATATTAGGTATTTAGTTTCAGTTTATGAAAATAAACAACTACCTTTATTCACGTTTTAATAGCATTTAATTCACGTTTCATCCATAATTTTTGAATTTTCGGATTTTAGACTGGGGCTGGGAACTGATCTTCTAACAACGACGAAGAAAATGCATGAGGCAAAAAATATTACAAATCTAACTCATGATCCGTTTTCTGCGATATTTTACGTCAACACTGTGATTCGTGCGAACCGGGTGCAGAATTTGCATTGACCAGCCATCGCTCGGCTTCGAACCCAGTTCATCTCATAGGAAGGTGAACGCTCTATCCCCTGAGACACCGTAGCTAATATTTTATAATCGTCGTTGAGCAGCCGATCCAATTTTGGGGTTTATGACTGTTATTGTTCAACTCCAAACGTTGCGATCGCCAATTGTTGATTAAAATTTGTTTGTACAGTAACCTTAGTGTTTCATAAACTCTCTTAAGGGCCATTCTTACAGCATGTGATTCAAGAATCTCTGAATGCCGTTAACAGAGATTAAAAGCCTGATTGGTGAAATATTTTCTTTGGTGATAAATTCACAAAAGGGATATTTGTATTTCGACAACGATCAAGTAGCGTGAACCACATGTAGTGAGAACAGAGTCTAAGAAGACCTCAATATGAAATATCTGACGTCATTATAAAATACTCTGTTTTTGTAATATTGATTTCAGAAAAAGAATTTGGCAACACCCATTCATTTAATAATGTTCTGCTGCTGGCCCGTGTTGTGTACATTGATTGGGATAAGTTGATGACAGTTATTTTTTATTAAATTCCATAATTCAACATTTAATAGTAATTTTTTAAACTGTCGGATAGTAATTTTAACGATAAGCGCATGCGCCTATTGATATTAATTACAAATATTTATTTATTCCTTTATTATTCGTTTTGGCCAATAAACTGAACAAATTGCTTCATGGCTGCCCAACAATCAGCACTATTACTTCGTAAACAACTGAATGGTGAGTTCTCAGCAATTATATTTTGTTATTATCATTTCAAGAATAATTAATGACGTAATTTAATGAAATGCTTTTTAATATTTGTTTTTAAGTTTGTTCGATGCTGATCTTTTATGCTAAGCCTACTTATTTTTTTTTATTTTTTTTGCGTTTGATTACAAATATCTCTCTTTAATGTAAACAAAGAAATTTCTTATTTATTACAATTAGGTTACACAAAAGGATTTTAACATTCGTATTATTTGGGTTAATTTATCGCAATTATAAGATAGCATCATGTGGCTGCAACATTTAAATATCGGTGTTTATTTTTAACTGTGTTTATATATAAAATCGATGGCCTTGCAAATGGGGTTATGCAAATGAGTTTAGTTAAAAATGCTTGTGTTGATCGCATATTAAACATATGGATTTCATTTTTGTAGATTTAGATAGATTTTGTGTTTAATCTAGACTATAATTTGTTATTCTAGACTAGATAATGAAGAAATTAAGTAGGAAAAATGAAATAATGAGATAGAATTTCGTGTTGAAATTGGACGTAGCGAATGATATCGTGCTCTACAAGAATTTCTGATAAAGCTGATATCTTGCCAAAAATGTACAATTAATGGGTTTGTAAATCATTAAAACTAAAATGGTATTAATACTAACTAATAAAATAAAAAAAAATTGGGGGAAAGATATTACTGATTTTTTTTTATCTTAGTGTAGTGTTAAATGCAACAAAACATAGAAGTTGATATTTCGTTAAAGAGGGCAAAAACTTGTATTTTATAAAATTAAATAAATGATTAGAGAAGCGAAACTTGAAGAAAGAAATTTTTATTACTCATTAAGAAAATTAGTGTTTTTATGATTCTAAACATAACGCTTTTAGTGACATAAATTAAATGTTTTTCATAACAAATGGATAATTTTTTTTAAAATGACAAATTAACTGCTATAAATAAAATTTACAAATGGAATGCTACTGCAATATAACAAAAAAAATTCTGACAAAGTGATTAGGATCGGAAGATAACCTTAGTAAGGTCATATTATATGAACCTGGCACATGATGTAGGAAAGAGAGAAAAGTAGAGCAGAATGCTGTGGGGAAACAGACTTATCGATGTTCTATTAGAGCTCAAAGGCCTTACACATGGGGGTATGCTGTAATTAGCAATGTATCATGCTCTGTTCTATTATTGTGTGAGTTATCTATATATTTACTAAATTACTTATTTTTTTTAATTGCAGAGTTGAAGAAAAATCCTGTTGAAGGTTTTTCTGCTGGTTTAATTGATGATAATGACATTTATAAGTGGGAAGTTCTCATTATTGGCCCTCCTGATACTTTATAGTAAGATTTGTACATATATAAGCCGCAACTTCAAAAATATTTGCTTGATATAAAGTACTGTTTTATAAAATTTATAACAGTCGAAGAGTTTAATGGAAAAATGTAGTGCGTTAAAACTTTAAAAGAGTTTAGGTTTAAAAGCATGTGTTAAACAATTTTTTGCTAAATCTTTATCAGGAAAATTGTTTCATAAATTCCTGCTATTGATAGATTTTCTTAAATAATGTCACTTTGTCCCTTTTTGAATTAAACTTTTTAATTTAAACTTGCTTTTTTTAAATTTTGAATCCAACTAGATCATTTGGTTCTATAGACAGGGTATCTGATCTTCACATCTGGAGAATCATGGATTTTGACCTCGATCAAAATTTGTTATGGAAAGTCATTATTTTCAGTGATAAATACTAAAAATTCATAGAAATTTCCAGTTCATTATGGAATTTTGGCTATTGGGCCCCTTTGTAATCTCGCAGGATTTTAAAATCCCACGTACAATTTGTATTCACTTGCAAAACCTTATATAAAAATTTTATTTAATAAAAAAGAAGTGACAAATTAACTCTTGTAAAATGTTTTAAGTCTGATAAATATTTAAAAAATTTAGGGAAACCTAATTTTAAAAAGGATTTAATTTTGAAAAATTTTGAAGTCAATAATTTTTTTTTAATCTTTAAAAAAGTTTTTTTATTTTATTTTAATTTCTATATTTATATATATAGTAATTTGATAGTGCAGGAGATGATGTTGATACTTTTGTTTCTGTGAAATTAATTTAACATAATCTATAGAATTGACCTTAAAGGACATTATTAAGTATTTTTAAATCCATTTTCTAATTTGTATGTTTGTTACCGAAAATGTTTTTTTTCTTCCCTGTTAGTTTTTTAGTTTAGTCCTTTTTTTATTGCTTTGGTTTAAACAGACTTATTAAAAAAGTGTGCAAAGCATTGCTCTGGTAAAACTATATATATATATATTATTTTAAAGAAAGAAAGTTATAATCATGTGTTTAGCGATATCTTGATTTTATTGAGTAATAATGTATTTGCCCATATAAGTCATGGAAAGTGTTTGATAGAAATCATGGATTTAAAAACTAGATTTTGCAGATACCCTGTTATAGATTTTTCCAGAAAAATCCCAAGTTAATGGCATGCTTGTAATGCAAGTAAATTTTTTTGAACAAAATATTTTGCTAATTTATTGTATTTATCTTACAGTGAAGGGGGCTTTTTCAAAGCTCACTTGTACTTCCCAAAAGAATATCCTCTTCGACCTCCAAAAATGAAATTCATTACAGAGATTTGGCATCCTAACAGTAAGTAAAATCTTATTATTACAATTTAAATTAGTGAAAAACCAGTATTCTCCATAAGCATTCATATAAGGACCCTGTTTGCCCCCTCTTCCTTATAAATGCACCTCCTTCGTCCTTTTTTTTATCACTATCCCTTTAAAACAATGCCTTTTAATTCATTTTCCATTTTGAAGGACATTATTTCACTGTTTAAATAATAATTACACGCTGGTAAAATTATCTGTGTTCTGCTTCTGATTGCTATTACAAATATTTACTTGTTAATATTATTCTCAACTGATTAAGTTTTTGTAAGTATCTTTTTTTTTTTCAGAGCTTGAGATATTAATATATGACTTAATATTGCTCATTTCATAACTTTTTATGGCGTTAAGTGAGTGCCATTTTAAAACTCGAAGTGACCTTTTTTATTTCCATGGTGAACTCAGGATAAAGGATTAGAAAAAGCTTGTTCTAAATTGGATATTTTCATTTAAATTTAAAGCTATTGTAATAAAAGTTTAATTTGAATTTAAAGGTTTGTACAAAAGTGGTTTTTGCATTGCATTAGTTTCGAATTATATGTATGAAAGTAATACTTGTATTATAAATATTTTGAAGAGTTCCTATTGTACCAATAACCTGTTTTTCTTTCAGAGTTGTTTTAGTTGAAAAAGTTATTGTTAGAAAAATTTAGTTACTAAAAGAATATATTCAAAATTTTTACCATATAAAAAATTATGTGGCGTGAAAACTATGAATTAAATTGTTTATAAAGTTTATTATTGCGAGAATATTTAAAATTTGAAAGTTATAAATATTTAGTTTGTGCTCTACTGCTGGCTTTGGTGTTCAGAACTTGACCATTGTTTTTTTTCTTCTTTTTTTTAACTTGAAGTTTTTTTAGCATTAATAGAATCTAATGCAGCCTTTTCATTCAATATATCAGAAACGTATGTTTTATTTTCTTGTTTAAAAAAAAATGTGTTATTCCTATTACATTACTGTTATGAAAATGGTGTTGTTAAAATTTAAAAAGATTGGCCAAAACTAAAAAAATACAATTAAATTTATGCGATGTGAGCAATAACCCTTAGAGATAAAAACATAAAAGAAAACACACTAAAAAATCAAGATGTCATTGTAATGGAGTTTCACATACCTGTCGCAGGTTTACCTTGGGATGTCTAAAATGTTGGAAAACAATGTTCTTAAAAAGGACACAGAATAAATGAGTTCTGGTTGATCAAACAAATGTTCGTTTTTATTTTTAACAGCAGCAGATGGTTTGTTAAATTGGATAATAGTAGAGCATGACATCGAAGGGGCACAGCCACAAAGAACCTTATAAATATCAGCACACTAACTTCTGGCACATGATTGAAAAGGATAGGCCATCAGTGGAGGACTATGGACCGCTTCTTCAAATCACATTTGGCATTTTCATACCAAACTTTCGAGATGTAACCAAACTCATGGAACGCGGGAGTGGGATGCCGCTGGAGTCATCTTTTCAAAAACATCTGCATGGCGAAGAAGGATTTCATCACAGCCGAGCTCGACAGCTCACAAGCACCCATGGGGGGTGTAAGAAAAGGATGTGTAACATCTCCGTCATGTATTTAAACAGACAAACAAAACTCCGTCTCTCCAAAGAGAGGAGGGGGTGAAAATTAAAAACCCCTGTTAAGGGATCGTAAGTATGTGTTGACAAAAACTTCGAATGCTGCCCGCTCCCAGAAATGGGCGGTATTTAAAGAAATAGCTAGAAGTGGAAGTTAAACTTCCTAAAAAGCAAAAGAATCTAACTTAAGGAGCGAACTGAAGTGAGTTGACTAACCCCTTAAATTTAAGCATAATTAAATACTAACGGCGACCGTACAGTAACTAAAAACATGTGTTGACATCAAAGGTCGCCGACAGCTTTTTTCCAAGAAAAGGAGTGTCTGAGGAACGTGCAAGGAACTTCCTGGGGAAAATGTCCTCATTGCGCTAACGCGTTAAGGGGCGAGAAGAAAAAGATGAAGACAATAAAAATTATATCATAAAATTATAAATTAAGCCGAAAAAATAAGTATTTTGATTAACAAAACGGGATATTTAGAAATTAGGCTGTGACTTAATGTCACAATTACTTTTCGAAGATTTGATAAGAGATTTACAAAGCACATTATGAGTGTAAATAAGTTTATATTGGTTTATTTATTTAATTTCTTTAAGTCAACAATGATCTCTGGTGATGAAATGAAGATAAAAAAGACTTTATTTTACAATTTTTTTAAAAAAAAATATTTCTTTGTTTTTAGGCCATTTCTAGTTTGATAACAAAAATCATGACTTTTGCATTTTCATCAAATTTTTAGAAGGTAGTTTGTTTTCTGAAGAGTTATCGACCGATTTCATAAAAAAAAAATTTTAAGAACTAGATAATCATAGTTTAAAATAAAAACATTTTTATACCTTGCAATTAAAAAATTTCTTGACTATTTTTGATTAAAATGAAAAATAATTATCAAAAATTTTTGATTCGTTTTAAGAAAAATCTGGAGACATTGGAAAGTATGCAAAAAAGTAAAATTAATCTTTTTCAACCGCTCACCTGGTCAAACTATTGAGACCATATTCCCCATAGTGCATCTGCTTCCTATATTTTGAGAATCAAGAATCCAAATCTGTTGAAAAAATGGTGTTTTAATTCCGAAGAAAGTGCATTTTTGTTTCTGATTTTTTAACTTAAGATATCATCTGCACTAAGAAATTAGAATATTTGAGGTACCCCTTAAAACATTGAGATTTGAGTTCAAGTTTTTGGAGGTGCTGTCATTAGATCAAAAGTTATTTAGAGTGTTTTGTTTTTGTGCACTGTATTTACCAAATTTAATAAGCTTGGTCCTTTGATGTAAATTTATTGAATTTTTGTAAAGTTATTTGTAACAAGCATGCTCGGATTCATATTTTTTATTAAGTTATGAGATGTGGATGTGCTGATCTTCCACACTATTTTATCGCTATTTTATCTTCTTGAAGCTATTGCAGTTGGTTTAAAAAAGATAAAAATAATTCCTTAAACAAAAAAGTTTGCAGTTGTTCTTGTTATTAAGTTAAATTTAGAATAACTGTAAATAAATTGTATGAATCAGTTTTGAACCATTGGCTGTTTTATAAAAACAAATAAACAGCTCATCCACGTGTAATATGTTTTTTTTTTTTATATATAATTTTAATGAAATATTACTAATTTAAGATAAATTTAAAGGTTTTTGTTACTCTCACAATGAACAATATTGACCTTTTTTTTATTTTAGTTGTACTTATTTTTTTATCATTATTATAAGATTAACTTAAAAAAGATCTAATATTATAAAAATTTAATTTGAAGAAAAAAATTCATCCCTATCTTACCTTCTGTGGAAGTGCCGTGTTTCATTTTTTGAACACTGACTTCTTAAGAGGGCTCTTTTTACATTTCATGTCGTTCATTGAGTTACCATGTGTGCATTTCATTAAATTATTATTGTGACAATTATTCACGAAAAAATAAATGTTGAAATAGAAGGAAAGGGATGAATTTGTCTAGATTTTGAATTTTCAGCTGAGTATTAAAAGGGTGATAATGGCAGAGGTTATCACAATACTTGTAAAGTAAGGCGAGAGATGCATTTATTCATAAAAAATTTTTTATTTTTATTATTGGCTCTAAGGAGAGTTATAATTTTTTTTGATTGTTATAGAGTTGTAATTCAACATAAAAAGGGTTTTTCAGTGTGTTCTCAACAGTGGCATTGAATAGATTTTCCTTCCTGATTCTTGTGATTTATATTATGTCTAAGTGATTTATATTATGTCTAAGTAAGGCTGGGAAAAACCTGGGTTTTCTTTAAAAAAAAAAAAAAAAAAAAAAAAAGTCCATCTATAGATGGCAGCAGTGCATAATTGTGTGTGCATTCAGCTTGTATATCATATTTCTGGTCACATTTTTTATTATTAGAAATTTAAAGTTATTGCTTTTATGTAATTTCATAAAAGGGAGCTTCATATTTCATAAAAACTGCATTTAGGCCTGAAAACAATTATTTAACAGGGTGCCTGGTAAAGTCAGTGAAATTTTTTTTGTAATGGGAAAGTTGGAAATTTGTATTTTTCTTTAGAAAGTCAAAAAAATTTCAAAATAAAGTAAATCACTCAGGGCAAGAAATTTATTTTTAAATTACTTTAAATAAAGATTAAAGGAGCTTAAATGATAAACACAACTGTTGATGTCATGCTGAAAATTTTCTTCAAAAAGATGAAAAACAGTTTTGCCTCTTAACCCTTTGACTCAAAATTTTTATGAAACATATTTTCATACTTTTTTCATTATTTTGTGTTCATTTTGGTCACACACAAAATATTGTATTCAGCATTTTAATAATTTCTGGTTATAAAATGCAGCATTAAAGGTAAAATCTTCCAAACACCATCTTTTCAAATTTGCAGTCTAAAAGAATTCATCATTAAAATTTCGTTAATTTGTAAAATCAATTCATCATAGGGAAGTTTAGCAGTATTTCTAATTTTTTGTTATTTTGTTTGCAGTTGATAAAACTGGTGATGTTTGCATATCTATATTACATGAGCCAGGTGATGACAAATTTGGCTATGAAAAAGCATCTGAACGGTGGTTGCCCGTTCACACTGTGGAGACCATACTCATTTCGGTTATTTCCATGCTGGCTGATCCTAATGATGAATCTCCTGCCAATGTGGATGCTGCTGTAAGTATCTGTTAACATGGTGATTGTTTTAATATTGAATAAAAAATTTATATTTAAATACCTTTGTGAAAAGCGTACTCCAGTAACCTCAAAAAAAAAATTAATAATTCGTTCTTGTGAAATGGTTTTTGAAATTTATTTTGTTTAAATCATATTTGAGAAGTGATGAATTCTAAAATTAGTAATTTTTTGTTTGTTGAAATGTACAATTTAATATACAATTTAATTATAATAACATACAATTTTAGCAAACTTAAGTTTTCTAGGCATGTTTTATATGTAATTTGGAGCACGGATGTTCATTTAAATTGAAGAGGAATAATAAACAAATTTCTTTTTTGAGTGTACCTTGCATCAACGATAGATTTTATATCAGATTCTTTCATTCAGGCTTGTCTTTCCGCTTCATTACGACATGGATTGGGTTATGGTGTCGTTAAAACCGTGGCACGGAATTTGTCAGCAAATATTTCTTCTCTGTATTCTAGAGCAATATTGGTAGCTTTCATTGAAGGTCTTTCTTGATAATGCATCAGCATTTCTGTGATTATTTAGGATCTGTCTTAGATATTTAACTACATAAACACTATTCTCAAAATTATACAAATATTTAAAAATTTTAAGCAATATGCAACAGAAATGTTAATTTAGTATATGTTTTTTTTTTAATGTCAAGAGTTGTGTGTAAAATTGAGATTTTAATAACTATATATATGTCACCTAATGGCTTTAATCATAGTGTTTATTGATAAAAATGTTTTGTATGACTTAACCTCTTCCACCTGTAACAGTCTTTTAATTTGTCACCCTTCTGTTTTAAAATGTCTGTTTGATGCTTTCTAATAATAAATAACATACCTGCCAAATCTCTTGTTTTTTAACGAAGATTCCTACATTTTACGAATATCTCCTGTTGACCTGTATATTCTCAAATTTTCCAGTATTTGTTGAAGAAATTTTTTAAAAAAAAATTTGGCGATAAAATATCAGCTGATTGCGAAAGTACTTCTCTTATTCCTCAACAGATGTTGCTATTGCTATGCAGTATATTGAGTGTTTATAGTTTAAGTAATTAATAATGGTTTATAAAAAATTTTAGCTTAAGATTTCTATACGCGTTTTTTTTTTTTTTTTACATCGCTATATGCAAGTGCTAATATTATTTCCAATTTTTGAATTACATGATTATGCCTGATGTTTTAAATCTTTACTTATAGTCTAAAAAATCCTGCTAGTAAGATCTCCGTTATTTTATTTCTGCAATGTTGATAGGTAGGAAATAAGTTTCTGCTACTTTTTTCATGAAAAGTCTCCATCTGAATAAATAACGAAACATTATCTAAAATAGAGAAAGAAACATTAAATTACTTTTGGGGGTGTTATGTAGTTAAAAATCCACATTATTTCTACTGTTGTACATGAGGTGTGACGAGTAGAATTCGGAAGAAAAAAAATTCTTGTTATAAAAGTTAACTATTGTGTTTTCTTTTTATCTGCTGAGTGTTTGTGGTTGCCCTGTTAAGTTAGAACTTCGACCTACTGAAATTCATTATAAATAAAATTGTCAATAGATAAAATTTTTATTACAATGTTCAATTCTTTTTATGGCAAACCATTCAAGGAGGATGTTTGAAGCTCATTCTTTGAAAGGGCTTTATAATAATTACTAATTTTCATTGTTTTGTGTATCTTCATTGTATTTATTTTGAAATTACAGAAAGAATGGCGTGAAAACTATACAGAGTTCAAAAGGAAAGTTGCTCGATGTGTTAGAAAAAGTCAAGAAGATTGTTAGGGAAAACTTTTTTAGCAAACAAAAAAAAAAAAAATGGTAAGTTTAAAAATAACCTTCTATTACATTCAGGTAGTTGTATTTTCTGAAGCTAATATGAAATATAGGAATGCTNGTTTAAAAATAACCTTTTATTAAATTCAAGGAGTTATATTGTCTGAAGCTAATATGAAATATAGGAATGCTAATATCATAATTTTAATTTTCTATGGAATTGAATTGAATTTTTTAATTCACAAATTATTTTTTTCTGAGCATTTCATTTATTTGTTTTACATTTTTTTATATCAGTTCATTTTGAGATTTAAATTTTAACCAATGTATCAACTCGGTGTTCAACTTGACTGAAGATCACTGATTTATCCTTTATGTTTGTTTCACAAACCATACATCTTTGCAAATACTCTATTTAAGATTGATTTTAAAAAATTATTTAAGCCTTTTTTTTTATCCAGTAATTAGAGAAATATGCAAAAATGCAGAGAAATTTAAATCCAACGGCATTTTTCTTAGCATTAGATTAGTAAGAATTTATATCATTCAATTTGTTTTCATGGTATATTAATGGCAATACAACATTACACTACAAGTGAAAATAAAAAATTTCTAGTACTGGGTTGGAAAAAGGTGGCTGTTACCATGTCTTCATAAAAAAAATTTAATTTATCGGTGAAAAGAATCTTTGGCCGTGGTATTTTTGTGCTAGACTGATATATATTTTAAATCAGAGCTGCATATTTGCCTTGACAGTGGCATAACAGTGGAAAAAGCCAGAAAGTTGAAAAAAGTTAGTTTAAATTTACATATCTTTAGACTTCTTATGCTATAAAATTAATTATGATTGTATTCTCAAGAAATTTTAAATTTAAAGACTTATATGATAATAAATAAAATTTAATGACTCAAGAAATGTACAGGGTATCCGCACACCTGGAAAGTCATGAAAAATCATTTAAAGCTATGAATTTCGGTATTGAACAAAATTTTTCATGAAATGTCATGATTTTAACTATTGTTTTTAAAGAAAATCATGAATTTAAGTCGCTGAAAAATTTTATTTTTAAAATGGAATTTCATGGTGTTCCGAATATCTGAATTTGTAACAAAATTCCCACTCAGTCGTATTTTATTAAAATATAAAATTTTTCTATCATGTTCTTTATAAATTATGGTGTTCTTTTAAAAAATGTTTCTAGAGCGACTTATCTTTTAGACTTCTTCAGAATTATTATTTATTTATTTTTATTTTATCAATTTAAAATTCTAGCTGAAGCAAGCAGAAAAATCAAGAGTATTTCTTTTCTTTCTGATGAACAGAAAAGTATCTTTGGAATATAATTCTGCAGAAAGAAAAAAAGAAGGAAAAAATTATTTACTCAGCTATTATTTTTTCAGCAATTTTATTGCTTCAACTCTTTCTTTACTCGGCTTTTTAAATTTAAAATCAATAAATATGAAGATGCAGAGTATAACAGTTTTGGTTATGCCTATCAATTTAATTAATGTTATTATAATACTTTTTAAATTTATTATTCTGTTTTTGTCGGAGAAAATAGTAACTTCGTTAAGCCATGAAAAATTCTTGGAATTATTCATGGAAAATCATGAATTTGAAAATCTAAAATGTAGCAGATACCCTGAATGTAATTGATATCAATATTCTGTGAAAAATGCTAAGTTTTTTTTTAAAAATTTTTATTAGCTACCAATTCCTCTCAGTACTTTGGTGTCGTAAAAAAAAGTATGAGATGATATTGTACAGTTGCTTGGTTGAAACTTTTTTTAATTTTAAAAGAAGGCACCAAGTCCTTTTCAAATTAAATAGCAAGAATCTGCTAACATTAAACTATCGGATATGATACATACTCTGTATGACATTTAGCAGAAACACATCTGCTACTGGTTTTAGCTGTAAAATATAACTGTAACCATAGATTTATTTTAGCTGTTAATCATAGTTCTATATTTTAAATAAGCAGTATCCATTTTATCAATTTTTGCCAACAACAAAATTACTGCCAAAAGCTATTTTTTCCAGGCCTGTTTTTCTGTGGTTTTACCACCTTGGTAAAAATTTGCCAGGCTTGTTTTTATTTAGGTTTTTTCCACCTTGACAAAAATTTGCCATCCCTGTTGTAAACAATATCTGAAATGAATTAAATATCTACGGCTATTATTATGGCTATATTCGTTTAAATGATTCTCATATTTCTTATTGGCGTTATTTTTGTTTGTTCTGTTTATAAAATAATAAGGTATTTCTCTCTGGATGCACTGCATGATACTGGCTCCTTCTTTAGCCAGGACACCAGCCACCTCATTTCCATATATATTGCAATGAAAGATTAGTGTAATATAGTTAATGTATTTTATTGGCTGTAAAAATCTTTTAAATATCCTATGTTTAAAGTTTATTAGACATTACGTTAGTCAGCATGAGATATATTATAATTTCATTGATTGTACTGGTTTTTTTTCTTCTTTTATAATGGCAGTATGTTAGCAATTTCTCTTCATAAAATACTGCTGTTTATTAGGGTGACTTATGTGCAACTTCGTGTTTAGGATTCACTTTGATACTATTGTTTTTTGGGGGAAATAGCTGTTAAAATTGTGAAACTATTATTGACAACATACAAATTATCGGACTATATTTAATAATAAGTGTATTGCGATAACGTACATTACCGGTACTTAACATAAATAATAATATGGTGATATATTTTTATGGTCCTCAGTTACAGCTTTAATTTTCTATTCACTTTTTTACCTTTATTAACTTGTATCTTTAATTATATATTGGAACTTATTTTTAGGGTCTGGAAGATCCAACTCCAAAAGGCTGCACTCAACTGCTCATAATTCTCCTGCTAGTGAACAAACTTTGACTTTACATGAGAGACTGTGATTTCTTTTCACTAATGCAGGAATATTTGGAGCACTACTTCCATTTAGTATTAATTTTCCTCTTCATTCATAACAATGGGAGAGTTTCTTTTCTTAATTTGCTCTTAAAAAAATAATTACTTTGCACCTCTGTTACACCCTCAACTGCCATTATTTTCTCCTTAATACAGCCCCCCTTTAAGGAGAGGGCTCTCTATGCATCTCCTTGACTCAAGTGAGAATCTTAAAGAAGTAAATAGTTTTTTCTGTTTCTCTCTCTCCTTCAAGAAGCTGTGAAATCTTTTTCCATATTTGTACAGTACTGAAACAGACAGAAAAATGTTTATACAGTTACAGTACCAATTGACATTGTGTATTTTTTATAGCTACTATTTCAGAAGAAATCCTTAAAAAAAGCTGATGTTAATACAAGACAACACTTATATATAAGAAAGTACTTGTTGTTTTCTTGAAGAAGTCACTACAATGAATATCTTTACAAATTTTAAGAAAAGCATTTCTTCTGTTCTGAGTGTTTATATTTTCTAATATTTATAATCAGCAGTGATTTAAACTTTGTGGTGCAAAAGACAATCTATACCTCAACGCAAGCAGCCAAAGAAGTTTTTTCATTTTTTCAGTTGTGTGATAATTTTTTTTTTAATTGTGTTTCTCTTAATAGAACTACTTTTGTTTTGTAAATGTCAAGTATAAATATATGCAATTGGTACAAAATGTGTTTTATGTCTTCTTTTTTTTTTTAATTATTTATAATTTTAATGTGTGTTTGCATCTTTTTTATAAGTTCCCATGGGCAATATACATTTGATGTATTATAGTATTCAATTTTTTGCACTTTATAACCTATTTTCAATCTCGAATAAATATATCAATAAAAGTTTCTGAATTGTTTTGGAGATGGAAACGGTCAAAAGAAAATTTAATTTAAAAGAGACAAAAGTAAAAGATGTTAGAAATAACATTTAAATATATAGGAAAGTAAATCAACTGTTTAAAATGGGCATGATTATTTATGGCATTAATAAATTAAAATTATTAAATGGTAAAAATATTACTGACCTGTTAAATTTTTTTTAGTGAAATCTATTTTGTGTACTGAGTACTAAATATATAACAAAGGTATAAAATACATTTCTTTTTTAAAAAGTTAAATTTCTCAATTTATAACTATCTAAAAATGAACATAATGAAATGGAATTAATAGCAAGGTCTAAACTAATCCTCTTTCTTAAAGTGCAAATGGCAGATATTGAATCTATCTTTCTGATTTAAAGACAAATTAAGTTTGATTTTCGAATTCTTCCAATATGAAACAAATTTTAATATATTTTATGTTGACAAACCTGCCAGTTTCTCCACCTTTCAGGCAGACATTTTTCTCAAATATTGGAATTGGTTTAAAATGATTTTATTCATTGTGACATTGAAATAACTCATATCATATATAAATACTCCGATAAGCTTTCTTGAGTGCTGGTAAGGCTTCAAAGACATTTGCCTAATTAATTGTTATTTCATTGCAGCTTTAAATATTTTGAAAAAATAGAGCTTTCCAGTTGGCTACTATTTTCTACTATTATTAATTTAAATAATAAAAAAGATATATTAATGAACTAATTTTATAACTTTAGAAGTGCAAAAAGTTTTGCCGTCTGGTGGATGAGCGATAGCGCCTCGCGCTGTCGTGCCACAGGTCCCTAGTTCGATCTCGGGGGCCAGGCATGGTTGACTCAGTCTTTCATCCCTTCATTGGGTCGATAAATGAGTATCAAGCATGCTTGGGAACTAAACACTGGGGGTTCTGCTGACCACCAGACCGGAACATGTGCTCCTACGCTCTAGAGCCTAAGGTCAAGAAAACGGATGGGCACAGTAGGCCTTGGCCCTCTATTGGCTGTCGCGCCTCTGAGTTTAGTTTAGTTTTAGCAAAAAGTTTTAAATTTGCTTAAAAAGATATGATAAAATTGGCCAACGGGAAATTAACGTTAATGCATATCCTTCTGACAATATTACGCTCGTGGACCATTTTTTGATGAATTATTATTTATTGCAATATACTAAAGATGGAATTTTCATCAATATGGTAATTTAAACATAATGTGTCATTTCATGGTGCGTAGCGTTTTTAAAAGGTGCTTGAGGGTGCTTATTTCATTGGGTGTTTTTAGAAAGTGCTTAATTTTCCCTTTTCGAAAATGGGATTTTTTTCCCCTTACCATGTTGATTTTCGCCAAGTATTATGCAAAATAGTGCTTTTTACATAGTTCTACTCAACGTTTTCACAATTTATTTAATCACAATCTATTTCGGCATACCCTTGGTCCGTAACGTATGAAAGCGCTAATCATTTAACATGTTAGATGAAATACTTGCGAGTCCGCATGCGCGTCTACTGACCCGGGTTCGGTGAGATTATTGCACTCTTACGTGCAACTCTGCTGCATTTTGCAAGATATTCGCAATTTCAGACTTCATTTCCCAAGCTCTGATATCGAACCGAAAAATTTCTTGATCCTTTTATAATGGCTAATATAATCAAGAAAAAGTTCTTTGTCAGAAACTAGTTATTTTATCATGATCTTTGAAAATTATTTTTCATTTTGTTAATGTATATAGTGCTTAAAAAATATTTTGTGTGCTTAAAAAATACTTAAAAGGTGCTTATTTTTTGTTGAGAGATTTGGCTACGCACCCCGCCTTTGAAACCAAATCTCTCTAATTTTCGCTGATTTCAGAGATCAACTTAAACATTGCCATTTTTTTCCCATAATTGTGATGGAAAATTTTATTTCTCTTGTTAATTTCATCTTAGGTGATGTGCCATCGTCTTGTGAATTTGTCACTGACAAACTAATGGCCTTTGCGATATTCTATTTTAAATCTGTACCATCTTTAAACTTGGCTTGGGGATCATTTACTAATTATGTATTTTCATGTAGGTCCCCAGAGCAGACTAGAATCACAAAGCTTCTTCATCACCTCAAAATTTCCATCTCTCTTTTTATTCATTAAATTTAAGAATTGAATGCGAATTTTAAACGTAATATTTTTACTTGGGGGACCGTCCACCTATTGCATAAAAATTTTGTAACCTTTTATTGTTACTTTATTACTTTTTTTATTAATTATATTATTACTTTTCACATTTTCTTAAGTTTTATGAAATAACTCACTAATATTTAGAGGCAAGATTTGAAAAAAGTATGAAGTGATGAACTTATCTGGGCTGATTTAGTCTGAGAACTTTAAATGCAGTGAAAAAAATCTTAGGTTTAGTTAGGGATCAAAATTCAAATTTGTCATTCCAAAAAACTTTAATTCATCTCTCAATGATTTTATTTATAAACAATTGAAATAAAAAATTCAATTATCTCACATTTATTAAAGATGTGGGGTTAAAATGTTAAGTTTCAATACTCTATTTACATTTCAAATTTGTTTTAAATTTTTTTTTTAACATTTCATTAAAGTAATACTGGACCAAATAATAATTAAAATTTTTTAGAAGCCATTCACTAACTTACGTTAGTAATATGAATTTATTAGTTTTCTTAAGTTGATGTTTTGTTGAATATGCTTTTATAAATAACTTTTATTTAAATCTAAAAGTACACTCGTTAACCTTTTTTAAATAATAGTGTAATTATAGTTTTTAAATTAAATTTTTTTGCATAGTTAAATAGAGTAGTTATTAATTTAAAAATAGAATGAGCCACTTAATATTGAATTTCTTTAAAATTTCGCATAAATTGTTTTTGTGATGGCTAATATTATAAAAAAAATTATTCTTTCTCAGAAACTAGTTTTTAACTTTCAACAATAGGAAGAAAATTTTTCTATAAGTGCACATTGCCTAATTACAGGGTTGGTATTTTGTTTTTGAGGACAAGTTACTTTATTTAACATTGGAGACATTTTATTAGGCATAAAATCATGCACAATGCTTACATTATAATACTACTATAATTTATATTATATCATTATAAGAAAATATAGCCAAAATTAATTGACTCTTAATATAATATAAATAATACCTATGAGTTAATTAATATCAATCTAAATATTGATTTAATTATTTTATGCCTCAATTTAGGCAGATTTTTTAGATTAAATAAAACTAATGTGGTCTCCAATAATTGTCTAATCTCAACTTAGAAAAAAAAAAGTTTTTTTTTTAAAAAAAATTCTAAATGTTTGTTGCTAATTACTTATATGCAGGTTAGCAGAATACATCTAATCATATGAATAAGGTTTAAAGGGAAATTCAGGCAGCCGAAAGAAAATTTTCGGTCTAAAGTAATTCCTACAAAATGTCGTATTTTTAAAAAATGTGTCGCTTTGCAAAATTTCTCCTTGTTAAAAAAAACATTAAATGTAAATGTGTGCATTAATTAGTTTGAATTCCTTAAATTTATGAGTGAGACTTTTAATTTAATAAATTATTGCTATTTCATTATGTCTCGATTTCTAATAATTTTTGACATATGCTGGCTTTTTCAAGAATTGTGTAAAATCAAATTTCTTTTCTTATATAAACTTTTCTTTCCAAAAATATTTTTAAAAAGTTATTGTACTAAAAGAAAAATTTTAAAGTTTTTGGAGAAATATCGATGAAACAACAACAAAAACTTTGTTCTGAAGAAGTACTAGGGACTGAGAATTTTCTGCTCTCCTACTTGTATGCACATAAATATTTCCTATAAATCATGACTATAATATATTCCCTGATTTATAAAATAATTATAATTTACAAAAAATATAAATGTTTATTTTAATAATTTTTTTAATCAATAAATTCAAGGGTTTTATTAAGTTGCTATCAATATTTAATACAGTTATTAGAATAAATGTCCTAATTACATGTTATTTTATTATGTTATAATAGTTAAGTAGGTCAACATTCTAGTCAATACAGTTGAGCATCAATCGAAAGAACATTTTAAATTTTTGGTCTTATTCGTACAAAAGTGAAAAATTAACTTGGAGCTCAAAACTATTTTTTTTTTTTTTTTAATCGCTTGCTTTCAGTAAAAGAGGTGTTAAAATGTTTGGGGGAAAGAGGAGTGGAAACTGATTTTATATGTAAAGATTAAGATAATTCGTTGTGTACAAGTTATATAAATGATCGTGATACCACGTGTTTATTGATATGTTTTCAAAACGTGTTTCTATGTAACTGAATAATATCAACGGTTATTGTGATAAAAAAAAAAAATACGTATCGTACTAAAAAGCAAATTTAAGAGAGAAATGGTATTAATTTGCTGAAGATAAATGTTAAAAAAAAGCGCCAATATTAATATTAATGAAAATTATTTTTGGTAGTAGTTACAAATTAAATTAAAATAGTAAGTTAAGTACAAAAAAAAGCTAAAGTAATGGTGAAATTGTACTAATTCATTTAATAGAGCGCAAAAAGTCACCAATCGGTTTTTTGACGTCAATAATGCTTAACTAAGTTTGGTAATCGGTACTAATAGAAAGAAAAATAATAGGCTATGTAATAAAAAGTAAAATTAATGGTGAAAATGTACTTATTCGGTACGTGGAACCCTAAGAAGTTGTCTTACTATTATTAACATCAGTGACACTCAATGTTGATAATAGGCACTACTGACATCATGGTAAGCGGAGAAGTTTTAAAACGTGTTTTTATAAAACTGAATATTTTAAAATCAACAGTAATTGAAATAAAAGAAAATAAGTTATGCACTATGAAGAAAGAAAATAAGTTATTAATAAGAAAATAAGTTATGAAGGAAGAAATGGTACTAATTGGTAGAGAAAAGTAATAAAACGCTAATATTATTGGAGTAAATGATAACTAATTTTGGTATTAGTTACAAATTGATGGCCGAGTGGCGTTCTGACAAGGTTGAC